CGGCGTGTGCCCCTTCGCCCCTCACGCCTGCCTGGCCGGGGCGCCGGGGCTTGCGGCCGGCTACACCCAGCCTCGCCCAGCACGCCCGGCAGACAGGAGCTGGTGACCCTGCGCCTGTCCCTGCTGGCCTTGGGTCCGCGTTCTCTGTGCTTCATTTCAAAGGAACGAACAGTTGCTGTGGCAGTGACATCGCGAGACCCACGATGCTGAGTGAGGGTGCAGTGGGTCCCCCAGAGCAAACTGTCCTGGGTTCCGCATGGGCGGAACCCCAGCCGGCAGCCCCAGCCCGCACCTCCTTCCCCTGTAGCATGAGCACTGCTAGCGCCCCCCGGAGCAGGGAAGCTGGGGCAGGGGTCTCGGGGCTGTCGGACTCAGCTCCTGACCCAGTCGCTCACACACGGTCGAGGAGGATTTTTACATGTAGAGCTGGGGGCAGGACAGGACTGCGGGGGGCAAGACAGTGGGGGTCCCCCGAGACCCACGGCTGAGGGGGGAGTGGAGGATGGAGGGCCTGCTGCGCCTGGGGTCCCTCCCTGGCCAGTGGACTCGGGCATGGTGGTGGCCAGTCGCTCCCAGGCCCAGACTGAGCTGGAGTCAGTGTCACTATGGCTGCAGAGGGGGGCTGAGGGGTGCCGGCCCCGGAAGGGGCAGGGACAAGGACAACAGCGCGGGGCCCTCGTTCCCCGGACGGGCGTCCTGGCACGTCGCCTGCTCCCCAGATGCGCCACCCCGCCCCGCCTGCTCCCCCGGGGTCTCCACGTGGCTGCGTCGGCCCTGGCCCCCAGGAGACCCCACTCTTCGCCAGCCACCCCATTAGAAACATCCCGCCGGTCCCGCTGGCCTCTTGGGCGCTCCCTCTTGGGCACATGGACCTTGTCCTGTGGCTGGCCGTGGGCTGTCTCGTGGCTTTGCCACTGGAAGGCAGATCTGTTCTGCTCGCTGTTACTGTCTTCTCCCCAGTGTTTTAAGGTGGCGGGTAGGATGAGTAGTTGGGGGGCTTTGTTTTAAAGACTTGTGCTACAAGAGCTGGGGTGCAGGCCACAGGTGGGGGGGTGAGAGGACGCCCCAGAGACAGTGGGGAGCAGAACAGGCGGGTCCCCTGAAACCCACTGCTTTGGGCCAGTGGGGAGATGGGTGGTCTGCTGCGCCCTGGGGGCAGCTTACAAGCTGGGACTGACCCTGCGCCCGGGGGCCGTCGTTGTAAGCGGGGCTTCTTTGCAGAGGGAGCTCGCTCAGAGCCCAGACACTGCCCTTGGAGAGCTCTTTTCTGAGGGGACTGTTACAGCAGCACCCCAGCCCTCCCCATGTGCTCTGCCTGCACCTGTGAGATTTTGAAGCTTCATCCCGAAGTTGCCTCTCACTTCCTTCCTGGGGCCCGGCTTCCCCATGGAGCCCAGAGCCCTGTGGGGGTCCCCGCTGGCCGGCGGCCGGGCCCTTCCTCCTGGGGCCAGCACGTCTGGACCGCTGTCTGTCCTTCCGGGCGTCACGACTCGGGTGCTGCTGACCATCAGGGTGCTCGCCTGGCCACTGCCGGCCAGCCCCGTGCCTCATGCCCCGGCTCACAGAGGCGCGGGGCATCTGGGCACAGTGGGGCATGGGAGGGGCGGCCGATGGCACGGGGCGCTTGGACACGTCTCGTCCTGGGCCCCCCAAGCAGCCAGGGGCGGGCGCGAGCCTGGGGCAGGGCAGTGTGGCTCCAGTGGCCACCCCAGCGCCCTCCAGCCTGAGCCCTGGACACCCAGGGGCCGTTAGAAGCGGGCCGCACCTGGGCGAGACTCGGCCGAGGGCCGCCCGCTCCCACGTGGACACCTGCAGGCTCCAGCAGAACTGGCTGGAAGTTAGGCCGGGAGACCCCCGGCCTGTGCTGGACAGACGTCCACTGATGTATGAGCGGCCGGACGTGCACCATCCCTCGTGGGAAGGGGTCGTCCTGCAGTGTCCACTGCACACGCGTTGTGGGCTCTCTGTGCCACAGACAGCCACGCGCAGGACTGCCGCCACGCTGGCCCTGCAGTTGAGAGTGACGTGGCCGCCAGGCCCGAGGACTCACGACCGGCTGCGCCTTCTCCGTCCGTCCTTCCCCGGCGTGTCTCCGTGTGGAGGCACTGTCCGTCCCCTCGGCAGGCCCTCGGTGTAGCTGCCCTGGCTTCTTGCTAAGCACCATGCTGGTCAATTGTCTGCTGTGGATGTCCAGCGTCGGCTGTGCCGACCACTTGCGGGTTGCTGGAAAGGGCAGCGCTGTGGCCTCCGGGGCCACAGTTGCCACATTGGCCGGGCACAGATGGCTGCCAGCTGCTCCCGGCGTGCTGGCCAGAGAGGGGCCTGCACCCTCATGGGTGCCCGGCGGCTGTGGCACGCCCACTGCAGGCAGGGGGCTGGCGACAGGTTCAAGGAGGTCGGGCGTCCACTCCCGGGCATCGGCTTCCCGGAGACATCCCCTTGGGCCCTCCCCCGCCGGCCTCCCTCCTCCACCCTGCAGGAGCCCCCTGCCCCTCTCACTCCTCCCCGCCCAGACACAGACGGGGTACTGGGGGCGGGGTTGTAGCTTTCTCCCGCCTACGTTCTGAGTGCCGATTTGCACGGCCAGTGGGGACGGACCCTCTCAGAACCCCGGGTGTGGGCGACCCATCCTGCTTTGTCCCCAACGCGACAAGCGCAGACCCGGCCGGCCCCCCTATTTGCCCCCGTATCCCCAGCGGCAGCTGGCTCAGGGGACGCCCCTCCTGCGTGGCGCCCCAGCCCTCTCGGGCCCAGCGGCGGTCAGCGTGGCCAGCTGCTTTTTGCCCGCGCGTGCCCGCCGGCTCCGCTGGCTGCAG